AGAATGAATCTTTTTATTGGGTGAAAGAAGATTCATTCAGTGATTAGTGGATGCTGCAAGCGTTTGCAATAGAGAAAAGTATACACAAGGTGTATCCACACTGCAGAAATAAAGCAGTTTGACCCCACTTTAAATGTCATGACTCTAAGCTACAGAATCATGGGATTTGTAGTTTGCAAAGGTACCAGAGCTCTCTAACAGATCAGTCTAAATACTTTACCAAATGACAAATCCCATGATTCCAAAGGATAGATAACTGTCAAAGGATGACAGTTAAAGTGGTATCAAACTGCTTTATTTCTGCAGTATGGAAGAACAGACAGTCTCTTCAGTTTGCAGAAACCCATCATTTTTGTAGCTGACCATGTGTTGTGCCCCCTTAACACACGTTGCCCCAAGAGAAGCTCCCTTTCCTTAATTTGGTACTGGCCTCATCCTTCCACTAAAATTGGAGAGAAGAAAGGGCTAACTATGGCTAACATACAGCCCCCAACCTTTTTTGACAACTTCTGTCCTTTAATCACCAATTTTCACATTTTCAAGATTTCATTTCAACCTAAACCATCAAAATGGCTAAAAGACACCATACAATATGGTGGGTTTCTTTGCATAATGCTTCCCAAGACACAAAGAGAAAGAACCCACCCCACACCCCACAATACACAAAGGAAGAACCCACCCATGCCAAATCAGATGAAAACAAAACCAGACATGATCTAGCATGAATGCTAGTACCAGCATGGTGGCACAGTTCAGTCTTCTGGGGAAATGGAGTACGTGCATGAAAAATGCTCCAACTAATGTCACAGTTCCCCAATGAATCTGCCTTTGTCCCAAGCTTATATACCTGTGGTTATACCTTCTAGAAATTGTTCACACAGGATTGGAGAAGCAATGATACCCTAAGACATTTGTACTGGCACAAAGGACACAAGACTCCTTTCTTGGGTTTAAATCAGGCCACAACTTTATTAAATAGTAAAGGGTCAAATTATAATTAAATATAATAATAAATCAGCTTTGCCACAGCTGTAAGTGAAGGTAAACCCACCCAAGAGTGGTCCCTCACTGCCCGTGGCAAAACAATAATTAACAATAATAATAGCAATAAATAAATAAGCAAGTAATTAATCAAATAAGCAAACCCCTCCCCAGAAATGAAGCCATATTATGTCATATGATGTCACAATTTGCTATGACGTAATTTTATTTATTTACATCATTTCCTGTTAATTTGTTTAGAGCCAAATTATTTCTATTCCCAATTTAAGTAGCCAAATTAATTTTATCATCCCCGCCCAACTAATTAAGTACACATATTGAACAAAGACCCTGTACCCCTCAGTTGCGACAAACTAAATAATAAACAAGACCCATACAGTAACCAATAGAAATTCTCAGGGAGGGCGAAAAAAACCCAAGTAAACCTTGGGGGAAAAATTCCCTCCCGGCCCCCGAAGGTGACCAGCCAAGGCCTGAGCGTAATCTAAAACAAGGGTGGGAGGGATGGGTCACCAAAAGCCGAGAATGGTTTGATGTATTCACCCCGTCTCAACTATAAAAATGGCTGCCTCCACGTGTCTGCGCCGAGTTATAAGCAACAAACTCTCCTCCAAATCTCGCATAACAGCCTCCATGCGAGAATTATTAACCACAGCCTGTTGGCCTGGATGTGGTGGTGAGATCTTCACCCCTGCGCCCTGACCAATGAGGAGTCTTTGTCCTTATTTGGCCAGTACAACTTGATACCCCTCCCGACAAGTCGGGGGGTGTCTTTGCACTGGCACAAAGGACACAAGACTCCTTTTTTGGGTTTTAAATCAGGTCACAACTTTATTAAATAGTACAGGGTCAAATTATAATTAAACATAATAATAAATCATCTTTGCCACAGGTGTAAGTGAAGGTAAACCCAACCAAGAGTGGTCCCTCACTGCCAGTGGCAAAACAATAATTAACAAAAATAATAGCAATAAATAAATAAGCAAGTAATTAATCAAATAAGCAAACCCCTCCCCAGAAATAACATCATATTACATCATATGACGTCACAATTTGCTATTACGTAATTTTATTTATTTACATCATTTCCTGTTAATTTGTTTGGAGCCAAATTATTTCTATTCCCAATTTAAGTAGCCAAATTAATTTTAT